AATGTTAACAATAGATAACATCTTGTATATTTTATTGTTATATTTTTCCTGAATATTTATCATCAATATGGACTTATTTATATTTTGTGTCTGTCATCACTCTGTGGGGAAGTAATATTGCTTTAATTTTTTTCAACAGTAACTTGTTCAATGGAAATGTGAATCTAGTGGGAAAATATTTTTCTAAATTTTTTAGAAAAAATATTTGAGCAAAATCGGTAAAAAAAGATAATTTTAATTTCATAAAAATTTTTTTATTACTTAATACTTAACTTAAACAGATTAATAATCGCTTATAAATTATATTTGGTCATTGGTTTAGATTTAATATGTCAATACTTATGTTGATACTGTTACGTTTTATAACGGTAACAATAAAAACGTTGTCTATCACTGTTTGGATACGTAAATGACAGATTAATACCAAATTAATTCATTGAAAAAACTTCAAAAAACTAGCCTAGCATATCAGACAGGAATCAAAATTTCACTAGTATGGATCCCGGGGCACAGCGACATAGAGGGCAATGAAAAGGCAGACCAAGAAGCCAAGAAAGCAGCAGAGCACACAGATATACCCATATTAAATATTACTACATTCGCAGACATAAAAAAACAGATTAAAGAACTTACTAAAATCAAATGGCAAACACACTGGCTCGGACAAACCACTAAATTGAGAAAAATCAAAAACACCATATTCAGTTGGCCCAATTTCCTCACGAAACGAAGAGAAAGAATTATCATTAACAGACTTCGCATCGGGCATACTCGACTAACCCACGGTTATCTCATGTCAAAAGACGAAAAACCTATCTGCACAGCATGTGGCACCGAACTAACAGTCCATCATATACTCACAGAATGCCGACAATACACAGAGGCACTCGATCAGCTGAACATCTCATCCACCTTAGACGCAGCCCTCGGTCCAAATGCAGACTCCTCACTCCAAATCTTGTCTTTTTTAAGAAAATATAAATTGTATGACTTAATTTAAAATTATTATATGTAAGATACCAAAAAAAAAAATGTAATTAATGTAACGTTTATGACTAATGGCCGTTGTCGCCGATGTCTTTAGATCAATAAAAAAAAAAAAATTCATTGAAGGACGCAGACAACTGCCCTTGATCACCGTGTCGGATGGGTAGTCAACCTCTTGCACACACCGCATCTTAGTTATTTTTCCACGATATCCTTTACAAAATATTGTAACCCAACTAACCTATCCTACCCTTATTCATATTTTTTTCTACTTATTCCTTTTTAATTAATTAATTAATTAATTTTTTTTATTTATTTAACTTACGTTAGTCTAATTTACATATAATACATATTGTATAAATACTCCTATTCTCTTCTATTTTTATTCTTTCTGTATTTGTATTCTCCTACAATATTGAAACAAGATAATTTGAGACCGACAACTAAATAATACGTGGCATATAAATTTAAACTTAAATTTTAGTTGTTCATAATTAATGTCTTTTATACATTGTTTTTTTTTTTTAATAAGGTAATGTATAAATAAAACTTATTCAATTAAGAAATTTGAAATTTAACAAATATGATTCTTGTTAATGTTTCATCAAAAATATTCAAATATTTAAGAATCTGAGCAGAGCAATAAATGTTTTAATATTTCTAATAAGATATACCTTTTGTTTTTGTCTGTCTTCACTGTTTGAGGCAATGAAATGCTTTAATTCTATACTTCAGAATCTTTTCTGGTAGGATAGTGAATAAACTGGTACTTTAAGGAATCGAATATAAAAAATGTTCAGTAGTTTTAAAAAATATTTGGAAAAACTAGAAAAAAAATTAAGGAAAAACAATTCTTTTTAGTAATACTAAATTTTGTTTTTTGGTGTAACTCTAAAAAAAATATCATATATATATATATAATGAAATAATCACAGAATATTATAATTCTCTATAAAAAATTTCAAAAGATTTTGTCTATTTTTTTAAGATTTTTATAGGCAACAGGCAAAAGCAAATTTCAATTTTTATTAGTTTTTTTTTAATTTTAAATTAAAAAATTATATTCTGAATTTTACAATTGTTAAAAGAGTTTACCTTTATAGATTTTTCGTTCATATTTAGACGTTAGTAATTCAACCTACTATATATAGTATATATAGTAAGCATAGGCGCAAATAGGGGGGGGGGCTTAGGGGGTATTAGCACCCCCAATTTTAAAATTAGCACCATCTAATAAATATGTGTTTATGTATCAAAACTTCTCCTTACAAAAAAAAAAAACCAAAAACAGTTTATCATCAGACATGAGGGTATCAGAGTATAATGAATGAAACAATGAACTCGATAATTGTCATTTTATCGAATTCAAATCTATTTAGAATATAAATCATTATTTTCCAATGTTTCTACTAAGCCCGGTCGTTGTGGTCGGTTATATTATTATCAGTGTTATCACGTTCAGTAGCGACTCAGCTCTACGACAATTTATAGTACCTATCGCGAGTATTTACTAATAGAAACATTCCCGTTACCACATCTAATTCGGACAAAAACCTAATTACGATATACGAATTACTTGTCAGTTGGTGTTCACCGGAGTTCCAAGTTTCCGACAGCCTGTGTGATTGTGTATGCCGAATGATATAATATAGTACAGATATCAGTGCCGGCGCTAGGGGAGGACAAATGGGACATTTGTCCAGGGCCCCGCGCTTGTTAAAGGGCCCCGTGATTTTTAATTATCATCTTAATACGAATACCGTGGTCTACCGTCGGATATTGCATTATTCTGCCTGCAGCGGTCGCGTACATAGATATTAAACAATTTATTATTTTATTCAAACATTTTGATGGATTAATTTATTTTTAATTGATGATTATATGTAGTTGTTAAAATAAATGTAAATTAATAAAATAACCAGCCCTTATGAATTTATTAGCCTACGATTTTCCACTCAAAGGTTTAACTGAAACTCACGCTACGCCAATAATTCTGTGCTGAGCGAGGTTTCATCAGGAGGAATCGCACTCGAATGTGTTGTCTCCGTTTACTCAAGTAGGTAAGGTAAAGTGGGGTAAGTGTGACGCAAAAATGAAAAGTTAATTTTGAATTTGACAATACTTTTTTTGTTTTTAATTTAAAGTTGTTATTGTTCCATAATGTAACACCTCTAGATATACATAATTGGAATTTATAGTCAACAAAGTTATATTATCACTCACCTAAGAATAATTTTTTTTTTTTCTAATTTTAAAACGTCACACTTGCCCCTTTTCATGGGGCAATTGCAAAATCGGATTGTTTTTGCTATTAGTATTACATAAAATTATATATTGGGCAAGTGAATAACAAAGATAAAAATAAGCTTTAATTTGATTTTTGTTTCATTAAAATATCTTGATTCATTAAGAATTGACAACAGAGCATTATTTAAATTTAATTATTTACCTATATTATATATAAAAACAGTACTTTTTTAAAATCCTGATTTAAAAAAAAGCTAAAATTTCACTACTCTCTGAGAACCTAAAGGCTATCCTATTACCTATGACCAGGGCCCCGCAATACCTAGCGCCGGCACTGACAGATATAACTGACTTTTGGAATAACTTTTGTTCTAATCAATATTTACAATGTTTTTTTATAATTTTAACAATTTTTGTTACACGTTTAAGTAGCTTCATTTTTTTTTTTTTTTTTTTTTTTGTCAAGTCTGTCTGTTCCACGCCTTGTACACTAATATTTATTTGTCATATTTTTTGAATAAAATATAAATAATTTGTTTTAAATTTTTAATAAATTAAAATTTACTATTGTATTAATTTTTATAAAATGTACCTAATGCACTATAACTATTCAATGTTAAATTGTCATAAAACCATTTTTTCTCAAAAAAGTCATAAGTACCTCATAGGTATAATTTAATTTAAATACCCAGGAAATTCAGAGCTTAAGCACCCTCAGTTTTTATGTTGAAATTGCGCCTATGATAGTAAGTATAGTTTATGAGTATATATTATATACTCATAAACTATACTTAAGAATATAGACATAAACTGACAGTCTGTCTTCGATCAAAATCGATTTTCGTATACAATTATTTTATATCATTATATTCTAATTTGACAAATCTATTACAGTAACTTCTCTAAATATCTACAACTATATACAGTACAGTGGTATCCACTTGACCACCTATTTCTAATTTAATAATATGAAATCAATAATGAACGATCTATTATAGTAGTGCTACTTGTGTACCTGTTTTATCTATATATACGCAGTGTCACGAAAAAATATTAAAATTGATTTATATGAGTTAAAAAAAATATAGATTTAATTAATTATGAGATATTTAAAAATTAAACATTTAAAAAGACTAAGACATTTAAATTTTAAAATTTATATCCATGATGGCTTTGTCTCATTCTAGAATATAGAATAGAAATACAATAAGATAACAAATACACTAAGTTTTTCTGCAGTATGGCTACATTATAATACTTAGTTATTACATTTACTCATAAGTCATATAATAAGCTATTATTTTAAGACAATAATATGTATAAGTATCAATAGTATCATCACTTTAAGTTTAAGAACAATTTATAGTTTATAAGAAATAATTTGGTTTCCAAATTAAAAAATAATTATCTACTAAATACAGTTAAAAACGGTTGTGCAAATGTTGTTATCAAGTAGATAACATTGTGTATAATATTATATTGTACATTTTGGCTGGACTAATTTAGTACCTATTTAATATTAAACATGGCTTTATCAGATTGGTAAAGTCTATCATAATCTTAAAATATTTATTGACTAACATATTATATCATTTTACCTCTAGTAATGCATATTTCTCCTTCCTGGAGTAATGTGTTACAAATTGTTCTTTTGTATAAAAAAAAGTTTTCACTTACAAATATTATGATTTTTACAAGTTATCAAAATTGTATTAATTATTATAACATGTGTATCTAATGTAAATTAAAAATTAAAAATTATTTTACTACAACATTTCCGTGTAAAATGCAAAAAACGCAAATTGTATCATAATAATAATATAATAGATTCCCCCGTTCATGACGGGACGGGATGCGCCGCCGGTAATATTATCAACGTAATATTGAAATATCTGTGACGACTCGATAATTAACTCGCGTTCATGTGACGTGTACTTAATCAAGACCGGACCGGATGGTACTTCATATGTGTCTTTGGGTGGTGGTGTCGTGGAGCAAGTGATTGTCTCGGGTCCAGACGTCCAGGGCTTCGCACAAAGCATTCCGGCCACCGTAACAATTACCGTTCGGTTATCCGCAAATATCAAGTGGTTCTTTACGGTAATAGTTATAGTCGTGCCACCGGCCGTCGTTCCAGATAGTGGATCGACGGCTGTCACATTTATTTCGGCACATTGATCCTCGACTTTCCGCGTGTGAGAATAATAAGATTCTCCAATATCATTGTGAAACAGGTACAATTCATTGCGGCCTTCACAAGAGTTTCCCGACGAACACAATCTAATGTAGTGTGCGAAGCCATGATCTTCCCACGTGCAAGCCGCACAGTTTTCGTCCTTCTTGCCCTCGGCACATTCGTGTTCATAAAACGTTACATAGTGATCCGCAACGTTGTCCAAGCGCAGCAAGACTTTATTAAACTGAATATAAATAAATGCAGTAAATGATTGCACACTTTTCGACTTAAAATAAATTGTCAAAATGTTTGCTGAACATATAATCTCGTCACTTGTTATCGTTTTTGTATAAACATCTATTTTCGTTGAATTACAAAAGAATATTTTACTTGTTTTAAGATAATTCATGAAATTTACATGATCGTTTGATACCTTAACTATGTAATCCAAATGATTTATTGTATTATTATACTTATATTTTGTAACTACTGAAAACCGTGGACATTTCTCTTTACTGAAGATTGTCAGATTTGACAAGTTAAATTGAGTGTTGTCGACACATAGCTGATGTTCTAAGGACCATGCACATTGAGTTTTAATTGTACATTTGGTGCACGTCAATGCATCTAAGCAGTTTGCATTATTTAACTCCATTCCCAGTGTGGTACCATGTGATTCAAATATCAGAGCCTAAAGAAAGCATAATTTAATATTTTGGATTTACATTTTAAGTATGTAATTATAATATTGTCACATTCAAATGATAATTATTTTAATTTTGCTAAACATTTAATTTTTTAAATTTTTTTTTCTCACTAATTTTGAATTATCAGGTAAGATAGTACCTAATTATAAATTATTAAATAACTATTCATATAAGTACCTTCTCTACATAAGAAATTCAAAATATTAATTAAAATGTAAAATATTAATATTCATTTTCATATAAGTAAATTAAATTTTAAAATGTTTTTATTTTTTATATTTACTAGGTACTAAAACGTAAGTATCATTTATTGTATCTATATGAAAATATTTCAAGTTTATTTTGTTTAATTTTTTTATGTTATTGGTAAATTTAAATATTGGTATTACAAATTGTTTTGTTGAATATTTTATTAAAAGTAAAGTATTTTCATTGTTCATAAACTATAATGTTAAATTTGTATTTGTACTCACCATAGTATATATTATTATAAGTAATAAATATCCATTCTTAGAATTGTGGTTCATAAAGTATTTATTTTTGCTATACTTTCTGCAATCAGCCATGACGCTATTCATTGTTGTGTGTTTAAGCAAGATATTATTCGTCTGCAAACACTGATTTAACTATAAACTTCTTCCGGGTTTTATCTTTAAAATATTCAAAGTAATTAGTGTTATATTATTATATTATAAATATAGAACCTAATATTTATTCTCTAAATACTCTGGCTTAAAACTGGTTTCAATTACAGAAAAAACCGATTTAAACCAAAAGCAACATCGAAACCGAAATCAAACTAAAAAAATATAAATTCCGGTTACTGACAAATTACAAATCATAAAATAGTTTAGTTTACAAAACAGAAATTTAAGTAGAAAAAAAGATGACTTGTACCTATATAGGTAACTATTCTACTGAACAGTAATTGTCGAATCTACCACGTCAATGAGTAGGTCTATCCGTAATGTATATATTATAATATTATATTATTATTACTCATACTGCTGTTGTCAGCATGAGAGCATGTCTGTCAACATATTTTGATCGGCGATAACGTACAGTACGTGCAATGGCCCACTATTTTCTCCCCGCTCTTCACCCTATTTTCCTAAGCATTATTCACATGATCCACTACTTACAAAATTAATTCTACTGTCTGCTGAATCAATGTAAAGAAAGAACGCCAAAATGTATATAAATTATTTTTTTTTTACGTTTTGTCTACATAACCTAAAACTGTTTTTTTGTTCTTTTGTTCGTGGTTTGGGTACGCTCGCTATTGCATTAGCTCCTTTTTTTTAGCTCCTTTTTTCGTATTTTTTTTAATTATATACCTACACGTTTCACGTGTTGCCATTGCCGTCATCAGTAAGATGACTCAATAATCATTGTATTCTTTTTCGTTTTGCGGTTATTGTATTTGCAGATGATTTGTACCACGACTACCAATAAATCATATGACGCTTACAATTCGGTGAGTACTTATTTGTTATAAAATCTGTTATAATACCTCTCTTCTCTGTTGTAGGTATAGTCCGGATTGACTAGTCAATAAAAATTGAGATCACGGTGATTATTGCGACATCATCTGATTGAAATCATTATTGGCATCACTCTCCGTTTGCGTAAGTCCGCCAGCAACCATTGTGTGAGTGGCCGCCCAGGTCATCCAGGTGCAATACGCTGTGGTTTGGGCAAACCTTTGGCCTCTCCACGGTCTCTGATTCACAGGCCATTTTGGACCGTTCAACGGATATCGTAGCCATTGGATAGACTTCCATAGCATAAGTTAGTTGTAAGATTGTATCCGACTATAGTGCGCTCTGTGGTCATTGCACCATACCGATCTGACCACATCTCATGAATGTCAATATGCATTCCTTTCTGTACTAATAATTTATTTACATAATGTTTCGAATTTAGTAGAACCTATACAATATGAATATAACGAAAATAATATATATTAATTGTATTTTATAGGTATTTATCAATATATTATTTTAGAATCAGAGTTGAGTGATAAAATTATTAATATTATATGTGTGTGTCGTGTGCGTCGGTACTATTTTTGTATGCTTACAAAATTTATATAGTAGAAAAAATGCTTTGATTTCAATTTTGGGTTTGGTATCTGGTAAAATACCTATAAAATATAAATTTTAGTTGGTAATTTTGAATTTTGAGAGGTAAAAATGGAAATTCATAGGTATTATTAATAATCCAGAAAAAGTAAAATAAAAATAACGAAAATATTTTTACACAAAACCAGTTTATGACGAAATGGAATGGGTTTTTTTTGGCTGAACTCAGAAACCAAAATTAAAATTTTCATATAAATTTTAAATTAAATTTTAGTCGAGAAAAATGTTTTCCTCCGACCAAACACTTTAAAATATGATACACTATGTTTCCTCATTTGTTGTTTCTATAATATACTAATTAAAAATGATCGAAAATCACTATAGTCATAGTTAACTATTTCTTATTATAAGCGTGCAGAAATAGATTTTTTACCAGTACTTATTTTTGTTGGTTGATATTAGGTTATTTATTTACTGTACACAAATTGTGTATGGAATCATAATTTATTGCGTTCTAATAAATGAATACTTTTTATTGAATTTAGGACGCTCAAAGAGTGAGCATTCCTAACTTTTTTTTATAGGTACATAGTTTAAATTTTTCGTTTTTTACTATATGCTATCATAATTTATAATCATATATTGATTTAATAAAATTATGTCACACATTCTTCATGTGTGCCGTTGACTGCGTTCCCCGCATTTTTATCAGCGCAGTAGTTATTTACGATTCTAAATATTATTTCACGACAATATTACTTAGGTATTAAAAAGCCAAAATGTTAATGAACGAAAGAAAATTTACAACAATTTGTAATTTGTATATTTAAAATATTATTTTGTTTTGTTTAACTAATAAACAGTTTCTTTTCTATTGGTGCATGCATTATTATTTATTTATTATTAAATAATTACGTTTCGAATTAATTTATTCTACAAAAAAATATTAATACTTTAAAACTTGCAAAAAAAATTAACTACTGATTTAAATAAACGTATGTACCGTTAAATTAAATTAACAAATCTCCTATTTTGAATTTTCCAACAAAAAAATATTGAAATTTAAAATTTTCAGCTTACAAAACGTATATTTACTTTTAACGCAAGCATCAATGAATAATATATATAAAAAAAATATTAAATAACAAATAGAACAAAAGTTATTTCATTATTCATTGGGAATTTTGTTACACCTATCACTGTTATAGTAATATTATAACTATTTAAAAATCAAAGGATTCAAAAAATAATTTAACTTTAAATGGGAACGTTATTTCAAAAGGTGGAGCAAAATAATGTACAGTCTGCAGCTGATTATTCAAAATACGATCCACCAAGTTAATTGATGGTTTAAAACCAGGGATCGAAACCGTTTCAAATTTAAACGGTTTCGGTATATGGTTTTGGTTTAGGTTCTAAGATCGATTTTTCAAATTTTTTGGTTTTGGTTTCGGTTTTAAAAAAGGTTTTTCAAATTTATAGATAGGCATCAAGAACGGTTTTTGATAATTTTTTTTTTCTTTTACTGAATAACTGTAGACCCGATTTTTACTATCTATTTACTATTTAGAGCTGAAAGCCCTAAAATTTGAACTGGAATTATAAAATATAATATAGGTAATTAATTAACTTTATAAAATTCGAAGAAACCGATTTTAGTTTTAAATTTCAATCAGTTTCAAGAACGGTTTTTCAATATTGTATGGTTTCGGTTTAGGTTTTGTAAACGGTTTTTTTAAGATTTTAGGGTTCAGTTACGGTTTATTAACCGGTGTTTTAAAGCTTTTGGTTTCGGTTCCGGTTACGGTGTTGAAATATGAAAAAACCGCGGTTTCGATCCCTGTTTAAAACTATATTTGTTTGTATTGTTATTAATTTATTAATCACTAAAAATAATTAATTTATAATATCTTTAATAACCAATAGGTAGATGTCAAGTACAGATCTTCTCGTCTCGTTTTCATGATCTCTTTACATATTAATATATTATTATGTGTTTATATAATATACATTATGCGGCCTATGACCTTGTTGTCAAGGCCTTGTATGTAAAATGAAAAAAAAATATATATATTATATTATATTATAATTATATTGTTTATTATATTTATGTTAAAAAACTAATCCACTATTTTCATAATATGTACATGTTTTTATTTATTGAAATAATCATTGTTACAATATTTACCTATCCATAACAATTACCTATTATAAAATATATTTAACTTAATAATACAAAATAACTTAACTTGATCAAGAGGTGACCTGCAGTTAAATGTTTGTTCATGATATTTTATAAATTACGTTTTGCGTTATGTTTTATTTAATGATATATAACATATTTTGTTAATCGTTATGTTTTGTTTTTCGGTTTTTAGTTTTTTCCTATTATCGCTTTCCGTTATAATTACATTCACAAATTTCAATCGTTTTTTGTCAAATATAACGTTTGCAAGCCCTGGTCAAAAGTAATAAATTCAATATCCTTCAAACCAAAGGTATAATGGTGGAAACAATTTTTTTAGTTGTAGTTAACTGCTTTTACAGTACACAACTGCAGTTATACAAGTATTCGAGTTCATTTAGGAGCATAGGCAATAAATTATATTATACTCAAGTCTACTGGATCCCTATAAATTATTTTATTCTTATTGATTTCATAATCCATTTAGATATTATCTACTTACCAAAAAAGTGATTGAGAACTGTAGCTAGGTGACACGTTTTGTATGTAGTAACATTTTCTTGAAAATCTGAACGTACAAAAAATAAAATAAATAATATTTCTTATATAAAAGAATGATAACTCTGAATATACCTATATGTTAAGTCTTGAACAAGATTGATAAAAATAAAAATTACATTATATGTGCCACATTCTTCACGTCTGCCGTTGACAGCGTCATGTATATCTGCAAGTCGCTACATGATCAGATTATCTATTATAAGTAGTTATTTATGATACTATAGGTATAATATTATGACAGCATAAATTATTTTAGGCAAAAAAGTAAAATTATGAAAGAAAATTTACAAATAATATATTCCGTTTTGTTATTTAACGTATTAACTGTTTTATTTATGTGAGTATACACTGCTCTATACACGAATAATTATTTAAATAGATGTGTGCATGCAGTGTTCTACAAAAATACTGAAATGTAAAAATGTACATTACGATACTAAAATAAAATTATTTGAAAATTAATGGAATACGTCATTCATCATAAGTATTATTTTCATTTTTAATTATAAATTAATTAACTTATACAATTGGGACATTATATTTATAAAATATTTAATTAATATGTATAACATATTATTCAATGCTATTAAGGTATAGCAAAATAATGTCCAGCATTTAAACCTAACAACTATTTAACTACAAATCAAGTAACTAATAGCCGATTTTAATCAAAAAGATCATCGTTCCACTCCAATCTCTTCATTTATTGCTATACATTTATATGTTTACTATAAATTTATATCAACCAAACTAAATCCAATATTTATATTTTGTATAACTTTTTTAGACTTCACAATGATGTGTGTTTTTTTTTTAATTTTTTAATTCTTGTGTCTGGGTACATGATGAGTAGTCGAAATAATGCTTCGATTATCAACTTGAGTATCTTGTCGGATGGGAAAGTGAATATTATTGGTGTATTGGGGAGGACAAAATTTAAAATTCACAATAGTTTTCAAAAGCGACGTGAAAAACACAATAAAAGTTATGGAAAAACGGGAACTTTTACGCAAAATCGATTTTTTACATAATCGGTTTTGGTTTATGGTGTAACTTTAAAACAAATAACCGTCGACACATGCAATTTTCACTGGTTTTTTATATTTTAATTTCCTATACACGATTACATTTCCAAAATATTTTGGTTTATTATGAACTGTTTAGGGACATTTTCAGTTTCCAATTGTATTAGATTTTTTTCTATGAATGTCAATAAAACGTTATTTGTTGAGTAAAAATCCTTAAATATTTAATACAAGGTTCCTACTATATTGTTACAATGACATTTGAAAAATATTAAAAATTCCAAGTCACAGTTTTTTTTATAAGCATTTAAAGTTCAAAAATTGACAAAACATGGAAAAATCACCAAAAATAGCAAATTATTTTGAGTTAAGAATTCGTAAAAATTTTTATTTTTAAATCTAAGATTTTAAAATGCAATACAAGATTTCTTATAAGATTACCTACCTTTATGAAAAAAAAAATGTCTATAAGAAAGAGAATTAAATTTTTATGAACGTTTGAAATTCAAATTTTTACAACATTTGGATATTCACTCGATTTCTCATGTAGCGATTTTCTTATTTTGTTGTAATTCAAAAACGAATAACTGTAGATACATGAAAATTTCAGTGAATGTTTATTATATCAATTCTTATACTTGATGAAATGTTCAAAATATTTTGACTTGTTTTGAGATGTTTACGGAAAATTTCATCCTTCAATTTTTATTTTTTTTCTATGAATATCAATAAAGTTTTATGTGTTGGGCCAAAAAGTGTAAAAATGTAATACAAGGCTTCGATATATTGTAATAAAAGCAATTGAAAAATATTCAAAGTACACATTCACAATTTTTTTTTATAAGCATTTAAAGATGGAATTTAGACAAAATTTATCAAATTTAAAATTGAATAATTATTTCAAGCCATTATGTTTTAATTTAAAGTTTTAAATCTGTTGACCGTAGTACAATAGATACCTACCAAAGCGGTCGTGTTACTGCCTGCGTATGAATTTTTAATTTGATCTCCAAATTTGACTTATTTTCCAGACAGAAAATTACTGAAAATGATTATCGTATCATTTTTTTGACTTATTTCGTGGACTTACAGAAACAACACATTTTAATAATTTAGACAAATAAAAACATACATCATTGTAAGCTCAATACATTCATCGGTCCGAGTTCAAAATCTAAAATGTTCAAATTAAAAACTGTATAAAAATGTTTTTTTAGTCATGATACATAAATGCATTTTAAAATAATATTTGAACTTGAATATTCAATTTAACTGAAATTAAAACCTTAAAATAGTTTTAGAATTGCATTCTAATTAGAATAAAGCTTTAGTTTCAATGTCTAGACTATTTAGTTAATAGTTAAATACTGTAGGTTTAAGAACTTATAGTTATAGACGTGCTTAATTATTATAAAAAATAGTTCACTCATCGCAACTATATGAACATTGTTGCTAATAATATATTTATTTATATATGCACTAGCTGCCCTGCCTGGCATTTCCAGTACCAAATTCTTATTTTTTTTATAATTATAATTGTCAAAAAAAGTGAGGAAGTGGATGTCACTCTGCTGTACAGTGTATAGTAAGTAACAAGTGGATCAATGTCAAAAATATATGATATATATTATATTGATATCATCGTATAAGAAAAACGATTCTGAGGGGAGATGGTTTGTCAGTCTGAATATTTTATATTGTTATTATTTATTAGGTATAGCCTGTAAGTTGAGTTAATATTTATAATAATACTAGCTGATCCCGTGCACTTCGTTGCCCGTTAAATGTATCAACTCAATATGACTACCTCTTTAAAGTACCATCTGGATCCAATTTGCTAAAAGTTAAGATACTATGATATGTTGAAATAGAAAAACTTTTTAGGGTAGAAATTTTGTATACATGATTAAAAAAATCAATAAACACCGTTGTAAAACCACTAGCTTCCTCGCTCCGCTCAGAGTCTAAAAATGTATATATCATATATTTTCTACTAACTATAATAGTAATATAAGATATAACCAATGGAAACTATGCAAATAAATAAAATAAAATTTCGGGTGGTCCTCAACTCATCTCACTATGTCTACTACAATTGTATGTGCTCAATCGAATATTGCCATCTGGGACCGTAACTAGAACATAAACACCAAGAGTTTTTATTTATAATGTTTTTATTTTATATTATCATAATATTATGTATGAAGGATAAGAACGTGTTTTAAAAAACCTCATATTATAGAGTAATCATTATTAATGTGTTTTAAAAAACAGCCATATCAAATATACATTATGCACTGCAGATATTACAATATAAAATTACATCGTAGTGTATGACCGCGATCTTATGTATGCCTTCGGTGGTTTACAAATATTTTTGGTCGCATAGCGATATTTCCTTGTTAGGAAAAAAGCGAAGGCGCAGAAAAAGGCCAGCACCGTGAATATGATCACGAGAAACCAGCCAAGAGGTATATATGGGTCGTCAGGGTGATGTGACGTTCTCCTGATCACAGTGAACACAGAAGAATTGGCTAATGTGACAGAAACCACTTGCGATCCATTGACGGACATGGTCGGCTCACACACCCAACTGTGTCGTGTCACAGTCACAACTTCACAAAGTGAGGATGGCGAATCCGCGGATTGTATAACGATGTCTTCGGGCTGGAAATTTTCCAAGTTGAGGCCATTGACGACTACTGAACCGCTTACGTCTATTTCGAAGTCTAAAAAAACCGGATCGGGGTGCACGTAAAATCTAGGCGATGAGCTGCGAACCGCGATTGGCAGCGAATGATTAAAGGATAAGTCTTCCTTAAGAAATGTTATTTCCAGTCCAAAGTTCAGTAGACGTCCCACAACCGACGAATTCCCATTCCAGGAAGTCCCGTTCACTCTTGGCGTTCGGCAGACCATGTACGTGTCGTTGATTGGTGGATCACAATAACTTTCTGCATACCTTCTGACACCGTCAACCAAGTCGACGTACAGTCGGGCAGAAGATACAACGCAAGGTTCTACGAAATGACTACCACGGACCGGAACGGAAGTGCCACCGGACACTACGCCTCCAAGTTGTTGGTCCTCGTCCAATACGGGATTGGGACAAAAGTGGAATATCTGTGACGACTCAATCTTCAGTCCGCTTTCCAACGACGAGTACTCAACCAGGACAGGACCGGATAAAGCGCCAACCACTTGTGACGTAGTGCAAGTTATAGTCTCGAGTCCGGAAGTCTTGAGATTTGTGCATAATGTTCCTGCCACCGTTACCTTTAACGTTCGGTTCTCCGCAAAAATCCTGTGGTTCTTAACTATGATTGTTAAGGTCGTTCCACCGGTTTGCGGTCCAGACAGTGGATCGACCGCCGTCACATTTATTTCGGCACAATCATTCGTCACGAACGCTACATTTTCGTTTAACTGATGTGTAGCGTTGTTTTTCATGTATAAATTTTTGTTAACTTCACATGTGTTTTCGGAAGAACACCATTTTAAGTAGTTCGAGTTACCGTTTTTATTCCATCCGCATGTCGCACAGGATTTGTATTTATTGGCCTCATTCGTTGCACATTCCTCGTGTTTATAAAACGTAAAATAGTGATCCTCGACTTTGTCAAATCGCAGCATGATGCTATTAAACTTAATAAACATAAAATAAGTAACCGTTGGCATTTCAACATCAAAGGTTGCTTTTTCTTTTTGTAATGGAAACCATATTAGTGTTTTATCATATATACTAACTTCTTTTTCAATTGTATTTTGAAGTACATAATACATTTTAGTTCTGAGGAGATAATATGTGAAACCTACCAAATCATTAGTTATCTTAAGATTGTTTGTCACATGAATGCGTGTTTTAAAATCATTATATCGATATGATGTAACTACCGAAATCTGCGGACATTCCGATATTGTAGGTATTATTAAACTCGACGAGTTAAATTGATTCTTGTGTCCACACTCCTGTTGCATAAGAGACCATACACATTCTGGTGTGAGTGTACATTTGGTGCAAGTCATCGAATCTGAGCACCTGATTATATTAGACATCGTTTCAAGTGCGATACTATGCGTTGGAAACATCAATACCTATAAAAACCAAAAATATATATTATTTTGGATTTACACTTTACTTACTCATAATACAGTAATATCGTATGATATTTTTAATGAGACTAATGTACCTAACCTATACAATTTTATACTGTATTAATGTATCGAATTTATAATATTCTAACTAAATGTAATGAACGAGCTAATAATTTATGACACAAACTGTTACTATATTATATGTATGTACTTATTCATTAAATAAAGTGAGTAAATATACATGTTATAGTAATAAGTAAATATATTTTATTGATATCTTCAATTATAAAATCATTATTTAGAATTTTTTCTAATAAAACTTTGTGTGGATTAATTTATATGTTATTTATTGTGATTATATATTATCACGATAAAGATATCGTAATTTAATATTTTAAATAATAACGATACCTTTTTTTTATACTCCTTACGATATTTTGAATTATTTTATTAAAATCCTAAATGTATTTTTGAACAAATATTTGAATAAACAATATCAGTAACAGAAAAATATTTTCAAATTTTAATTTGTAATTAGTATTTGTACTTACCATCGTATATACAATAAAAAATATTCCATTTATAGATTTGTGGTTGCAATAGTTTTTATTTTTGCATAACTTTTTGCTATCAACCATTTCGAAGTTCCAATGTTGTATGTTCCATATAATGTTTCTCATCTATAAGCAGTTATTTTACTATAGATTCATTCCGGATTTGTTTTTTAGACAATTCAAGATAGTTAATATTATAATATAAATATACAGTGATATATATTTATCCATATAAATAGACAACCGAGTTATGAATATATTATGATCCTAAAGCATTTTTTCAGACGTTAACACCTCCACCTTTACTTTTTATTTCGTATTGCTGGATTAGTTGTTTTATTTAATAATTTTATCTGTTGTGTCCGGGAACCAACAATAATAGACCAGTCCCGGTCACCGAAATACTTCGATAAGCACATTTTCATTAGTTTTGAGCTTTCTAGATAAATATTGTTTAAATTATCTAAAGTTTATCTTAGATGAACAAATACTGTATCTAGATACATTTAATTATACCTAGATAAATATCCGTGAATGATTTTAAATTGTTATGAAGTAATTATTAAAATATTAACCATCTATTCCGGAAGAGCGTTTTATATATAATATTTATGACGGCTGGACTGATTACCATGAAATTTGGTAAAGAGATAGAATAGTCCTCTGGGAAGAATATATGCTAATTTTAAATGGGTCATTTAGAGGTCCAACCGCCCATTCTATTAAAGTCAATATTTATAAATCAAACAGGAATAAATCAATAAAGTGTTTAAATTAGTGTTAACATAGGTTTGCCAAATTTGAGTTGTTCATAGTTTTAACTTCAGATTTATACTTATGTAGACTACAAGATATAAAAACAATAGTAGGTACCTAATGTTAATTTCAACGTAAAAAAAGCACGAAATGCACGTTATTTCGAATAACGTTTTTTATAATTTGTTTATGGTACGTTTATTGTTTATGTTTAACCATTAATTATAATGAATGATATAGGTATACTTATTAAGTTTAATGATATAAGATTATTTTCGTTTTTCGTTTATTGATTTGGGTTATTTTTTTTTTTTATCATTTTGGGTCATAACCTTATAAATAACCTTTTGAAGCCCTACCTTATACTATCGAGCTTGTTAGGCACAACTAATTCAAAGATAATACTAGTAAAAGGTACTCACAATATATAGATGTGAAGACTGGCTAACCGCTACATATGTATCTTAATTAATTGTGTCCACACTTGTGGCTAAAATACAATACCCATTACAATATTAATATACAATTAAAAATAATATATTATGTGAAATAACAATTGCGATACGTGCATACGTATAATATTATGTAAATTCTCAATCTCTAATGCACGACACTTAAATAATAAAAAGCACAGTGGTGATGTTGGCGCGCGAATAAAATATAATATGAACGGCGATTCACGGCCAGATGATAATAAATAATATTACAACTGCTATCGTGACAAATATAATATAGCGCCACAAAAAATATAAAACCATTATCATAGACGTGTTACGTGGCGATAAGAGCATACCTACCAAAAATTAAAATATAAAAAATATAAAATTACGGCGATTCGCGCACGTAAATTTATCTGATTTCGCATTGACAATGGTAAACGAAATGCCTTTGTTTTCGGCGGCCAACTATAGGTGTACCGGCTAGTCGGTGGCGTCCGATTACAGGTCGTTCTTAATCTACATAACATAATATTACTACAATTATTCAAGAATAAATGCAAATATAAGTTAAAAAGGATAATATTGTTGTGCGTGTGTTAGTGTGTGTCGGTCGGTGACCTAGGTGTACGCGAGCGATTACCGATACCTTTTATCGATTGTTGGCTTAGAGTCTAAAAAATAGTTAACATACTATAATTGAAAAAAAATATGAAATTCTATAAAAATTATTCGTTTGACAAATGTGGGGACGTGATTATTTTAAATGCAACAAATCATTTTCGAAATAATTTTGACTCTTTTTGTGGCCATAAGAAATTTTATTGTTTTTTTTTTAGTTGTTATGCTTTTATCGACAGTATTTTTTTCGATGAACACAATTTGTTATGATCATTAAAAAAGATGAAAATTTGAAGCAAGATTCCTCATCAATTAATTTTTGTATGGCCATAATTATTATGACCTATGCAAAAAGTTTTTTATAAGCATTCACATGCTTAAAAAAAAAGTGGGTAGTTGGATGTCGTTCTACTGTACAGTAGTTTACAAGTGGGTTACTGTAATATGGATGGTGTTCAGGGTCGGACTGGCCCGGACCGCAGGTCCGCGATCGCGGACTGGGCCCCCAAACTTCATGTTCATAAATATAAAATTAAATTAAAATAAGGTTACCATTTATAGTAACTGTATTTAGACATGTCTTAATATTTTGAAAATTAAGTTTCGTCTATGCACTCGGACCTACTCGTTAAATATATACCAATATAAATACGCCATACGGGACTGCTACGCAGGCCAGTGTCAACTAGTTATTCACAGTTTGCTCCGAGTCACGAGTTGTTCGTATCAACGCACCGGAGCTTAATAAAGGTGTATAAAATACTTAAATACGAGTAACTGTTGAAGTGCCTTCAACGAGTGTATAAAGTGTATTTAAATTGTTGTTATTTTTATTTACCTTACGGTTTAAAATGAATACCAAATTGAAAAGTGGTGCGGAAAAAAGGCGCCTAAAAGAACAACAAATGTTACTCAAGGCCGGTTCTGACCCAAAACAAAAAAAAAATTATCTTTTCAAAGGTAATCACGAATGATAATTCAAAGGTTTCATTTTCAAATGAAAATAAAGTTACTAATGGTATCATTTCTTCTGAATCAAAGGTAAATTTAATCCGCTACTCAGGAGTCTAGTTATAATTTTGTTATAGGTAATATTGCATTTTTTGGTGCTACACTTTGGTGGAGCAAAGACAAAGCATTAAGCTCAATTATAAAATTTAATGAAACTGACATAAAAAATTCAAGATTTTTATTATTTTTAAATTTTTTGCTAGAAATAATTTCAAATCACTCTACATTTGATTCAAAAACAAAATTCACTGCTCGCACTCTATTACAAAATTGGTCTAAGTTTGATGTGATTATGACTGCAGCAATTTATCTGGACATATTTAGTATTAGCTCACCTATTTCTAAGTTTCTTCAATCTCCGTCGTTAAACTATCTAACTGCTTTTAATATGATTAACAACTTGCATAAAAAAATTAGATCTAGAAGAGATAATGCTGATAGTATATTCATTAATCTTTATTCTAAAGTTAAACATTTTATTACAGAAATAAATAAAGAGCTAGAGTTAAATAGTAGTAATTTCACTATAAAAAATGATTTTAATAAGGGAAAATCTGTTGGTAGAGTATCAAAAAAAAAAAATGTCTGGTGAAGAAGCAACAGATGAACGGCCAAATATTTCACCGACTGATAGGTTTAAAATTGAAACATTTAATTATATACATGATATTTGTGCAAACAGCTTGGATAAACGGTTTATAAGTAATACAAAATTACTAAGCGATTGCATTTGCCTGGATCCTAAACATTTTAATTCGATAAAAAATGAAGTACCTGCAAATGCGTTACTAGAACTTTCAATTCTAACAACTATTGATAGAAACACACTTGCATATGAATTACAACAATTTGCTTTACAGTTTAATTCTATTACTAAAACTTTTGAAGCTACTTTCACATATTATTTAACTGAAGACTCCCAATTTCCTATTTATGAACATGAACTAGATTTAGACGAAGATCAAGCATCCGTAATTGATCCATCCAATAATTGTAAAACATGCAATAACTGTTTACGTTGTGCTTTCAATGTGTTACATAATATAGTTCAACAGTGGTTGTTTTAACAATATATATTATGCATATAAATTTGTATTAACGTTGCCATGTACCCAAGTTACTTGTGAAAGAACCTTTTCCAAATTAAAAAATATCAAAACAAAACTAAGATCAACTATTTCCCAAGAAACAATGGAAGCATTGTTATTGATGAATATAGAAAGAAATGTTGAAATTGATAAAGAAAGTGTAATTGATTCTATTTGAAAGAGTTCTAATGAACTTTCAAAACTTTTGTTAAATTGAATTGTAATTTATTTAAGTTTTAAAATTATTTACATTTAAATGTTTATTATCATATTATGCACCTATATATTGTTTCATATTTGTTAAAGTCAAACAAATTGTTATAAATAAAAGTATGTGTATAAAATATTACACTTTTATCTAAAATGTTTATCATTATAATGTGTTTTTTTTTTTTATTACATATAATTGTTATCTTATTTAAATACAAAAATGGAGAAGTAGAGAGCAGACTAACAATTTATAGTCCAACTTTAGTAAGGCAGTAAGGGCCCTTTCATCAGATCGCAGACTGGGCCTTTTGTTGCCAGTCCGACCCTGATGGTGTTATATTTGAATTCAATGATATAATATCATTGCATAAGAAAAACGATTCTGAGCGAAAACGGTCAGTCATCAGACTATGATATTAATATGTATATTTGATGATATTATTGTGAATAAAGTAATTTATATATTTACCTATATTGTACGTGGAACCTGGTTTTAAATTTTCAATCTTTAGCTATAAAAGTTGAACATTTTATACATTTTTAACTACAAAATAATTATTAATTTTAAATTTGATAAATGTTGTCAAATTCAAACTTTAAATACTTATAAAAAAAAATTGCATATGTATTTTTCATATTTTTTAACTACTATTGTAACAATATATCAGGAGCCTTGCATTAAATTGTATCCCAATAAATAACATTTTATTGATATTTATGGAAAAAAAAAACTAAAAAAATTTAAAACTGACAATGTTCGTAAACAGCACAAAAAGAGTCAAAATATTTCAAAATTGTATGGTGTATAGAAAAAGAAAATATAAACATTCACTGAAATGTTCATGTATCTAGTTATTCTTGTTTGAATGACAACAAAATAAAAAAATCGCTACATGAGAAATCGAGTGAATATCCAGTATTGTAAAAATGTGAATTACAAACGCTCAAAAAAATTTTATTTGATTTGCTTGAAGACATTTTTTTTTTTGATAAAGGTAGACAAACTTATGAGGAATCTTGAATTCTATTTTCAAATCTTAGATTTAAAAAGAAAAATTTTTATGAATTCTCAACTCAAAATAATTTGCTAATTTTCATGATTTTTCAGTATTTTGTCAAGATTTTAACTTTAAATAAAAACTGTGACTAAGGATTTTTTTTAATATTTTTCAAATGTCATTGTAACAATATAGTAGAAGCCTTGTTTTAAATGTTCAAGAAATGTTTACCCAACAAAGAAAGTTTTATTGATATTCATAGATAAAGTCTCTTTGCTGTACGCCTGTACAGTAGTTTACAAGGGGGTCACTGGATAATGGATGGTATTAATTTTGAATTCAATGAAATAATATCATTGTATAAGAAAAACGATTCTGAGTGGAGACGGTATGTCAGTCTAGGTAAAAGAACATAAATAATATTTAAAAAAACATTGATTTATATTTCTATAATAAATTCCAAATTAATCATATCACAATATCTATGAGGTACCTACTTATAACGCGTTATACATCAATAACAAACCGTGATACTATCATAGATATATAGTAGTATACTTTAGAAGTTTCAAGTATCTACGAACAATATTATACAATCACAACAAAATAACTAAAATAGTTATTCTAGGTTTTTATTATGTAATTTCTTCCAAATTTGAACTTAAAATGATTATAAAAATAAACTGTTCTTATGTATTTTTTAGATTTTTTTGTAACAGAATTATCAACTTACGTGGAATCTTCTTTTAAATTTTAAATCCTTAGATATAAAAGTTGAACATTTTATAGATTTTTAACTACAAAATAATTATTCAATTTTAAATTTGATAAAATTTGTCAAAATTCGATCTTTAAAGTTTAATTCCCTATAAAAAAAAATCGTGCCTATGCATTTTTAATATTTTTCAACTGCTGTTTTACAACAATACATCAGGAGCCTTGTATTACATTTTTACCCTATTATAGGAGGAGATAACACTTTATTGATAATCATAGAAAAAAAAAAATTGAAATATGAAATTGTCCTTGAACAGCTCAAAACAAGTCAAAATATTTTGAAAATTTTATCAAGTATAAGAATTGATATAATAAACATTTACTGAAATTGTCATGTGTCTACAGTTATTCGTGTTTGAATTAAAATAAAATAAGAAAATCGCGTGAATATCCAATGTTGTAAAAATTTGAATTTCAAACACTCATAAAAATTTAATTTGAGTTTCTTATTGACATTTTTTTTTGATAAAGGTAGATAATCTTAAAAGGAATCTAAAGGTAAGATTATTATCTAGGCAAACTCATGGGCTTTTTATTATATTTTAGTTTTAACGTGAGTTATGAGTATTTTAAGATTTATAAACAATTTATAATTTCAAAACGCGTTAAATCATTCTTAAGAAGTACAACTGGGGATAAAAGATTGAGTGATTTAATGGTAATAAATGTTGAAGGAGAGTTGCAAGAAGAAGTGTTTGTTTAGAAGAAGTTAAGAATATGTATGCTAATCTTAAGAATCGAAGATATCATAAGATTTTTAAAAAATTTATAATTTTAAAATACTCATGGCTCGCTTAAAAATTAAAATATAATAAAATGCCCATGAGGTTGTATAGGTAATAATCTTACCTTTAGATTTTATAAGAGGTCAATTCACTCTAATTTTTAAACTAACGGAGCTACATGTGTTCTGCTTTTTGTCGAATTTGCTATGTTACCCACTTGTAAGATTGAGACAACACATGCGTGTATCACGTCTTCTTAAGATTTAATACTAGCTTAGTTTAATTCCCATTAATTTATAAAAAGTCATAATCAGAAATTTTTTATAACTTCATTGAATAAGTCTAGAATGCATGTTATAATATTACAAAATATCAATTATTTCCAATAAATAGCTATTATTGAACTAATATTTTGTATTATAAGAATATTCCATAGTAAAAAAAAAATGGTAAAATCAATAAAAAACCGTTGAAATATGATTCCTATAAATGTATATAATATATATAGTATAATCTACAATATTTAGTACCTACCTACAAATACCAGGGTGGGTGATCTTAGAGTTTAACTTTAAATGTTTTTGTTAATATTTATTTGTATGTTTTAAAATAAAAAATTTCTTACGAGCTATTCATTTTTCAGATTCAAAAATATTGGTTATAATATATTTTTTACATAGTATATTCATTCCTTTGTCAACAAAATCCACTCATGCGATTAAAATGGTAGAAACAATTTTACTAAATACACTATACAGTGTGCGAGAATTAATTAATTATGAATTTGTCATTGTAACACTAACGTCTGCCTATATAATTAGGTAGACACTTAATAATAATATTAGTAATGTATTCAGTCAAAAACAACTAATAAGTATTGTTTTAAATTCTAGATATATATTGACTTTAACAGAATATACAACAAAAATTACTATAAAAATTGAAGAAGGGTCTCTAAAGTGCATTGAAATATTGGAAGAACGGATAAATAATAATGGAAACACACCAGATTTAACCAATAGTGAGCACTCCATAAATTACAGTTTAAAATATAATATTTAGTTTATTTTACTGGTACACAAAATTTAAATATTCAGACTCTCCTTATAAGAAACATCATAATATATAATAGGTCTATGTATTGAAGTGTTTGTTGAATTATTGCGATTTGTTTCATTTTTGCTACTTACACAAATAATTAATATTATAAATATGGTTTTGAAATAGAACCATTATAATTTATAGATAGTAGGTACTTTATCGTTTTGTAACCAATAGATACTATTTAATAAAGGATAACATTTTAAAATAAATACCTATTGACAAAGCTGGGCAAAAGTTAGTCACTTTTTTCAACTAGTTACAGTTATAATACTTTAATATAAAAAGTAACTAAGTTAGAATATAAGTTAGTTTCTGAAATTTACCAAATTTCTAACTTAGTTAGAAGTTAGTTTGGTAAAAACTAAAAATAGTAATTTAAGTTATAGTAGAAGTTAGAAATAATTTTTTTTTTAGTTTAAAATATAATCATAAAAAACCGTTTTTTCAATGTGATGTATAAGTAGGTAGGTAACTAACTTGAATTATTTGTGATAAATTAAAAGCTAAATTGAACAACTGTAAACTGATAATATATTTCAAATTTTTAGGTAAGAAATTGAAAAATTTAAATATTGAAAAAATGAAAAAATAAATAATATTTAGGTACTTAGTATTTTTAACGAGTTCGATTAGATTATTTTACGCATTGAATTCAACTAGTTGAGTTACAAAGTTAATATGAATTAAAACTAACTAGTTAGTGCGCAGCGTTATTGCCTATTGAGCAGCCCGGAGCAGGTATACCTACTCTATAGTACCAGTATTATTCACTGTAATCGACATTGTATAAATAAGATTACATACCATTCAGATAATTTCTAACCATTTTTTAAATTACTGTATTTTCAGATTCAAAATATCTGATAGTTATGTACTCGTTACATAGTCTGCTAATTCCTTGATCAAGTAAATTAACATGAGAAGAGAATGGAAAAAATACTATGTAAAATATGGAATCAATGATTCCTAAAATTTAATCATAAAATCTAATGAAACACTATTGGATATGGAAGCACTTTTAAAACAATCGGCCCAGAAAGGGGATCCCATCTATAGATATTATTTTAAGAATGGATAAGCCACCAGAACTTAAAATCCATTGCTGGAGCGAGAGCACTATATAAAAGCAGTCTCTCTCTCATCCATATCCCGGACCGCGACCCCTTATTTCATTAAAATAGGATTGGCCTATCCATTCTTATTTTATCTATAGTCCTATCCAGCCATGGATTTTGATTGTTGGTAGTTGGTACCTACATTATTTTATCAGAAACAAATTTTGATATATTTTAATGCAGTCAAATAATATGTGACTTACAATTTAAAAAATATGTTATGTATGTTTCGAAATGTTCCATATTTTT